AATATATGCAATAATAAATTTTACTAAGCCACTTTATCAAATGATTTTTATGCGATCAATATTTTATCATATGCTATTACTTATTTATTATCATGTGATTAGCTTATTATGTATAACCTAAGATCTTCATTAACTCCTCACTCCCTAAAATATTAAGTAATATATATCACTACCTTATTGTACTTAAGAAATGATAATACTATTATTTTTTAGGCATGATAAACTATTATTTCTTAAGCATAATAAAATCATTATATCTTAAAAATGATAAAACTATCATTTCTTAGAAATAATAATATCATTAACCTAAGAAATAATAAAAAAATTATTTCTTAGGTACAATAATACTATCGTATTTAAAGAATAATAAAACTATCATTCCTTAGGTATAATAAAACTATCATTCTTAAGAATAATAAAACAATTATACCTAAGGAATGATTAAATATTATATCTTAAAAATAATAGTAATATCATTTCTTAAGTATGATAAAAGTATTATATCTAAGAAATGATAAAACCATTATTCTTTAGGCACAATAAAACAATTATATCTTATGAAGAATAAAATAATCATACTTAGGGAATGATAAAACTATCATACTTAAAGAATAATAAAATAATGTACCTAAAGAATGATAAAACTATTATTTCTTAAGTACAATAAAACTATAGTATTTTAGAAATAATAAAACAATCATACCTATAGAATGATAAAATATTATACCTAAGAAATGATAAAACATTATTTATAAGATACAATAAAACTATTGTACTTTAAAATAATAAAACATAGTACCTAAGAAATGATAAAAACATCATTTCTGAATAATAATATTATTGTGCCTTTAGAACATTATAATTATTCTAATCAAATATCAATTAGCTATAAATAAGATAGGTTGAATTTTGCTGATTTTTGATATATATTAATCGGCTATAAGTATATTAATTGACTATAAATAAGAAGGTCAAATTTTAACTAATTCTTGATATATGCCAATAGGCTAAACTGATTTTTGATAATTTGCTAATTTTAGGTTGATTTTAGACTTATTTTTCATATGTTTAATTTTTTTGATTTTAACTAATATAATAAGCTTTTTTTATTATTTATAATGAGATGACTAAATTAAGTATATGTGATATAAGGCTGTTTTAATGTAGATTTTTCAATTTAATATTGTTTAATAAAAGGTTATATTATTATAAATATTTTAATTTAGAATTATTTGATAAAGAGCTTTGTTATTATAAATTATTTATTTAGGTAAAATCTAATAGGATTAGCAATCTTTTATATAAGTAGAGTAAAACAGATTTTATTTATTGAAATTTCTTTTTTAAGTATTATTTAAAAAAAAGGTTGAATAAAAAGAAAAATAGAGTTAAAAATCATCTGTACATATTTTATTTCTTCTTATATTTATATTTATTTAAAAAAAACTATATGTACAGTTTATTTCTTTTTATATTTGTATAGATCTAACTAGATTATATATAAATTTTTCAAATCTATTTTCTTATTATAAACTATAAGAAAAGTAGAAAGATATACAGGTTTAACAAATTAAAAACTAACAGTAATACTATTATCAGTAATTATTAAGAAAAAACCTTCAGTTTATTTATATAAGAAATTCTTTTCAATAAATTTTTTATGTTTAATCCTTAAATTTGCTATTTTCTTTTTACATATTTTTTGTTGTTTTTTTTATAGTAAAAAATAAAAATTAAGAAAGTAATTTTTTTGATAATGTATTTTTAATTATTTGTTTTAACTTTTTTTTTTAGAAAATTTAGATTAAATCATTAATAGCTTTTTTTAATATATTATTACACTATTATTTAATTAATTTTATTTTTTTTTAGGCTAAATCAGTATATTTATTTAGCTGAAATTATCAAATAAACAGGATTTTTATTACCATAGCATAGGTATTTCATTGGTTAAAATAGTCCAAATCAGCTAAAAATCAGATAGCCAATTTTAGGTTGATTTTGATACTATTTATAGCTAATTTATTATATTTCTAATTAACATAAATATATGCTAATTAACTCTAATCAGACATAGCAATTTAGCATTAATTCAAAACTTAAATTCAACTATAAATCATTCTAAAATTGACTTCAATTTAGCATTAATTTAATATCAATGCAGAACTTAAATAATTATAAATTAGCTTAGATTTGATTTCAATTTGATATTAATTCAATCAAATAAGTATATAAAATTGAATGTTAATATAAAATTCTAGCCAGCTTTAGAAATTAATTATTTTATTTTTTTAGTTTTAAAAAATTTATTTGACAATGATGAAAATCTTCTGATGAATTTTAAAATATATTAAGTAGAACATGCTCACTTAAAATATTTAATTTAATATTACTTTTAGCTAAGTTTTTATGATTTGTGTAAAAAATGTTGTAAATGAAATATGATAAATAAAAATTTATCACTTCTATAAATTCTCAAAAAATAATTATTAAAGTTATTTAGATCATTACTTTTATTATATCAAGACATGATTGTATATAAACAAAATTACTGATATATATAAGAAATTTTCTTATAATAAAAAAATAAAAAATAAAGGATAAATTTTACTTTTATTATAAAAATAGCAAATTAATTTATTTAGCATATAAATATTTATAAGTATCTATGAATATTTTGAGTAAACTAATATCACCCCTAGATAAAGTATCTCAGTATTATGGTATTTTATTCGTGATTTTAATGCATCTGTAATAACAGACAGAGTTTTTTAATTTTAAGGAAAGCTAAATATAATACATTCCAAAAAATAAAAATATATAAGCTAAGCTATTAAAATCACTTTATAGGATAAGAAATTGATTTTGAGTAAATGATAATTAAAAAATTTTACGTTACAGTAAATATTTTAAATCAATAATAAATTCTACTTTTAAATATTAAGTCAAATTAATAATAAAATGATACTAAAATTTATTATTTAAAATTTTATTATAAATTATTATTTTATAATTTTTAAAATTTTTGCTATTAAAAATTATTTTTATAGAACTAATTTTGAATATAATTTTATAACACTTAAGATTTTATAATTAAAATCATCCTACAAGATAATATTATACTAGTTTATTAAAAATTCAATCTTAAAGAAAAATTATTTTTTATATTTTATATTTGCTATGATATTAAAACTTTCTAGACTTTTAATTCATTCAAATTATAGTTAAATTTAAGAATTTTGAATTTTAATAAGGGTTCAAAACTTTTTTAACTTTTTTAAATAATAATGTCAATCATTTTCAAATTTTATATTAATTATTTTTAAATTCTAATTAAATGAGAAATTTAACATTATATACAGTTTATGCTATATAAATATGATTCTACTTTATATATTGAAAGCTAAAAAGGAAAGAAAAGATATAAATTCATTTAGCTTTATGCAAGAACTATAAGGGATACTTTTCTTTATATAGATATCAATATCAATATTAATATTAATAAGAACAATAGTTATTTATATATGATTTTTTTTAAAAAAAAAAATTGGAACTGAATGATTATTTACTAATAATTTTTTTAAAATAATGAAAGAATTCATTAAAAATATATACTTGGTAACAAAAATCCTGTTTCATCTGATAATTTTAACTAAAGGGATGAACTGATTTAACCTAAGAAAAAATAAAAAATCACAAATAATCTAACCTAAAACTGCTTAAAATAAAAAATAAGATAAAATAAATAAAATTAGTAATCAAATTAATTATCAAAATAAGAAAAAAAAACAATAAATAAAAAAAAAATAGTCAATTCACCTTAATCACAGAGATGAATAAGATGGTTTTATTTGAAGGTTCTATTTGATTCTTAGCCTAAGTAATAGTAGAGATAACATTGAATTAATCTAAAATAAAAAAAAGAAATTATTTTAATTAAAATTAGTCAGCTTATCTTTGCTGTAATGATGAACTAATCATTTCTATTTGAAGGTTCTGTACAGTTTTTAGCCAAAGTAGAGGAACTGATTGAACCTAAAAATAAGAAAATAAATATTAAAATATTAAAAAAAACAAAATTATTAATAAACATAAAAAAAAAGAAAAAAATTGATAGCTTATCTTTATTGTGATAATGAACCGGTCAGTTTCATTCAAAGGGATCCATCTGATTCTTAGCTCTGATCAAACCTAAAATAAAATAAAATATTAAAATAAGAAAAATAAAATAATAAAAAAACTAATATTAAAAAATAAATATAAAAAAGAACGAAATCCAAAAATCTAAATCAAAAAAAAGTTAAAATTAAAAATAAAAATTTATTAAATAACATTTTAAATTAAAAATCAAATAAAATACTTTCAAATATTAAGAACAGCCTCTGGCCAGTCATAATTATGAATCTAGATAAGTCAAATATAAAAATACCAATCTTTATCACAGTGATGAACTGGATGATTCTGTTTGAAAGTACTTGGCTTAAGAGATCTAACCTAAATTAAAAAAAATTAAAAAAAGAAATTATTTATTAAACAGTTTATCTTCGCTGTAGTGATGAAGTTAAAATAAAAAAAATTAAAAAAAGAAATTATTTATTAAACAGTTTATCTTCACTGTGGTGATGAAGTTAAAATAAAAAAAAATAAAAATAAACTAAAAAATTAAAAAAGTATTTAATAATTTTTGAAATTAAAATTTTTTCAAAACTTCAATAAAAAAATCACACTTCTACTTTATTAAGTGATTGCAGCATTAAAAATTTAAATTCTATATTTAATATACATGTTAAAAATAAGTCTGATTTATGTTAAATCTTTATCTTTGCAATAATCTTAAATATACATATAGTTAAATATTTTAATTAATTTGACTATAATAACTTTGATTACCTACAGTAATATTAAATAAAAGTTATTATAAATATAATGAAATTCTTTAACACTTTCATATTTTAAACATTACTTCACTTTTCTTTAAACAAATTAAGCTAATAAGATTTTCAATAGTAATTTTGACCTATAATTAATAGGACAAATAACTATTATATTAGTTAAATCAAATTTGAGCTGGAATTTGGTTCAAAGTATCAGATAAGTGATTTTATCTGATATTACATAATAATTTTAAGCTAATTTTAAAATTTTTTTTTTATCACAGTGAAATAATTTTACAAAGAAAAATTAAATTTTAATAATATAAGGTTATAAAATCACAAATTAAATATATATATCTTTATACTCACAGATAAAAAACTTATTAATATATAATAAAGTCATATATCATTAGCCAGTTAGATTTACACCACTTCCTATACAAACAAGAAAAATAAAAATAAAAATATTATTAAAATTATTATTAAAAATAAAACTATTATAAAATTTATATTTAAAATAATAATTATTTTTTAATAAAAATCATATAATAAAAATATCTGTATACAATATTTTATAGCTATAATTAATTATAAAAAAAAAATTCTGGACGAAAGCTTATTCTCTAAAAAATACTAATTACAACTTCTAGAGATATAACAATAAGTAAGTTGTAAATTATTGTAATTATTTAAGAGATCGTAGATGGCTGATTCATCTCAAATAAAGGCAATATGCAAAGATTACGAACTTCATTTAATTTGATATTACCTGATGTTGATAAACATTTATAATCATTTTCAACTAGAAATAATGTTATTCGTCAGTAATCAATATATTTTATCAAATGTGTGTTAATTCTTTAGCAACTTTATTATGATTCAGATAAGCTCATTGTCAATTAGATTACCATGTGAATCTAAGAGTAACTATTTTAAAAGGGATTTCGGTTGCAACTTGAATATTTCTCATGCAACTAAAAATAACACCATATGAAACACCTCAAATACTGTGATTACAAATGGTCTGTCCTTTTCATATATGCAATTAAAAGTGCTGTACTAGATAACTGGCAAATTCAATAGTATGTAGCAGAATAGCTGTTACGTCATTTAATCAGGTTGGAAAAAATATTATTTAACACTATATCAAATTTAGATAATAGATTTAATGAATAATTATAATTGCAATTCTTTTCTAACTTATTTTTAGCATTTTTATAATAAATGCTTGAAGGTCAGGCAGTTGAAAGTAGTCGCAATAAAAGAGTTTACGACATTTTCTTTAGTTAAAGATTCTTTTTTAAAACTCCTGTATAATTACATTCCTGAAGAATTAATTTTTGAAAAAGAAATTCGTTATCATAACTCTCCTACTCTACAAAGTAATTTGTCAAATACTTTGAATCTTGCAGCTAAATTCATGTAATTTCCTTCCTTGGTTATCTATATCATTAGTGATATTTATAAAAAATTAAATAAAATACATGTGTTACTTTAAATATTAAGGCCGGCCATAACCATGAATCTAGTTTGTTAATAAGATAATCGACTATAAAAATTTGACCAAATAAAGTTCATATATTTTGATTTTCCATTAAAGATAATTTTATGCAAATAAGATCAAGTAAATATTTTATGAAATCAATTCAGATTACAAAAAAAGGAAAGTAAGAAATAGCAAATAATCAAAACCTTAACGCGATAATGCTGTACCATTCGCGAAACTTTCTTTATAATCAATATGATCAGTTTCGAAATTTGTTTAATGTTTGGTTATTTCTTAGTCAGAGTTTATACTAGTATAAATGCACTTTATTCAAATATTTGAATTGTAACAACAATAAATATATAGAATAATTCAAAAATATTTAGTTTGCATAAAAAGATTCATAGAAATATTCAAAGCCTTAAAAATACTATTTCCAATAATAACGATAAGGCGAACAGGAGATGATATTTATAGTGCTTTGGAACTAGATTTTAACAATCAGCGGATGTGCGTTTTAGATAATTTTCTAAAGAATCGTTAAATAATGCTTGAGAAAGAATATTTTCAATTGCGTTATCGGTTTCCAATTCAAGTGCAATGATTATCGCTTTAGCAGCAACCCTAATAAAGTTATACGAATAATGGGTCAACATCTGCAGTTTTGTTCGTGTGGTTGGTTTTACGGGTTTTAAACGGAAATTTTCCTGAATCATTTTATTAATTTTAGAAATTTATTGCTTAACGTGTTTACTTACTGATGTGGGATCATAATCACCGACTCGATTATTCGGTGAAGAGATTTATGAAATAGATCGTCTCCATTGAGTTTTAATATTTTTCACAGGAATCTCCGATGATCAGCGAAATTCAACATTTGGAAATTGGATTTGGGATTGCTTTTGGAAGGTTGTAGCGACTGAGGGTGGAATGCAGCTTAGAGTGGTCGAACCCACGAGAGTTCAAGCCGTTATTATAACTATGGCATCGATCTATTTACATATCAAATGATTGCATGAAAAGTTTTTGAAAGTAAAATTTAACAAAAGTTCGAATTTTTATCTATTTTAACCTAATAGGGATAGATTTGCGATCCACTAAATTTTTTTTATCTCAAATTTTCATTAAAGCATGAGCATGATAAAAGAAAGTCATCCCACAATAATGTTTGCTGTTGATAGTTTTTCCGTGTTACATTTTATATGATATTACGTATTAATTCGTTAAATGGGAAATTGTGTATATTACAAGGAATTCGTGAATGAATTTATAAAATCATAATAATAATAATTATGACAACATTCAAATTGCACTAAATCTACATTATATTATAGGATACGGATACCTAATTGAGTTGTTTACGTACAGTCATGGGATATTTTAACCAAAAAATTACATGCAAAGTTTTAAAACGAACGTTACATTTATAATAAGGAAATTGATTTTTTAATAATAACAAAATTTGGCTAAGACCTATTTTTTATTTATTGAGCCGTTAAACTTCCTTTATTATATAATAATTAAGGCAAAAAAGTCATTTTCTGTTACACAAAAATGATACAACATAAATTATTGTAGTTTAGTGTTTGAATTTAAAAATAATGTCAATAAACATAGTAAATCAGAACATTGATTTTTTTTTATTTATTTTTTTTTTTTCTCTAGCAAAAAAATTCAGCTAATATTTTACATCTATAAATTTTGGATAATTAGTTACATAGAAAACAACCTAACCTTTTTTTTTTTTAAAAAAAAACACCATCTAACCTTTTATAGTATAAATACAAGCTTGTATTGCACAATTGCCGTCGGCGTAATTGTCATGTATAAATGATAATTCTTGGAATTCTTTTCGGAATTGTGAAACAGACGATCATCATCCATACATATAAAGGCACAACGAAATATTTTGTTAATATCATGGAAGAAATAGTTAGTTTTACAGCAAACGGCACACCAGTAAGTCAACCAGCACAAAATAAAGAAGGAAATACATATAAGAAATGTCCCCGATGTAAAAAAAGGAAAGTTGAAAATCATGAGATTTGCCAATTTTGTTATAGATTATATAAGCCAAGTGGAAGTAAAATAGTTGATGATTTTATTAGAGACAAGCAAATTAATAACAATGGGTGTTATGACGATTGAATTTATTCCCTATGATCAATTGATTAATATAAAATTTTGTGTCGAAAACGAATATAATAAAATTTATAAAGCTACTTGGATCGATGGTTATATTCTGCATTGGAATGAGCGTAAATCAAACTTTAACCGGGTTGGTACTATGCAAGTTGTTCTTAAAGACTTAGTAATTCTAAAAACATCATTTCTGAAGACTTGAGTATGGTATGTATTAACTTTTCCGTAATACAATTAAATTACTTTTGTTAATACATTTTGAAAAATTTAGCAAATTAATAATAGTCAAGTGTGTTACGGAATAACTAAAGAACCTATACAAAGGAATTTATGATAATTACAAGTATATTCAATTGGACAGAATATAATCAATATATAATAGATCATTTATCACCATTATACAAATGCAAAAATAAAGTTGTAGATGATTTTATTAGAGATAGGCAAATTAATAATAATGGTATGATAATTGAGTTTATTCCTTATGATCAATTAATTGATATAAAATTTTGTGTCGAAGACGAATTTAGTAAAATTTATAAAGCTACTTGGATTGATTGTTATATTATACGTTGGAATATGAATAAGGTTAACTTTGATCGGAACGGATCTATACAAGTTGTTCTTAAAAGGCTTAATAATTCTAATGACATCATTACTGAAGAGTTAAATAAGGTATGTATTAACTTGTTTGTAAAATCTATATAATTTTCTTATCTTTTATTAATACATTTTGAAAAATATAGCAAGTTAATAATAGTATAGAGTGTTATGGAATAACTCAAGATCCTATTACTAAAGATTTTATAATAATTTTAAATATTTCCAATGAGACAGATTATAAGCAATATATAATAGATTACTTATTATACAAGAGCAAAAATCAAGTTGTAAATGATTTTTTTAGAGATAGGCAAATTAATAGAAACGGTATCATTATTGAGTTTATACCCTATGACCAATTTATTAATATAGAAATTTGTGTCAAAAATGAATTTATTAAAATTTATAAAGCTACTTGGATTGATGGTTATATTCTTCATTGGAATATGAATAAGGTAAACTTTAATCGGAATGGATTTACACAAGTTGCTCTTAAAAGGCTTAATAATTCTAAAAACATCATTTCTGAAGACTTGAGTATGGTATGTATTAACTTTTCTGTAATATAATTATATTTAACTTGTATTAATACATGTTGAAAAATTTAGCAAATTAATAGTCAGAAGTGTTACGGAATAACACAAGAACCAACTACAATGGATTTTATGATGATTTTAAATATAAATATATTCAATTTGACAGAACATAAGCAATTTATAATAGATCACTCATACAAAAGTAAAAATGAATTTGTGAATGATTTTATTAGAAATAGACAAATTAATAAGAAGGGTGGTATGAATGAATTTATTCCTTATTGTCAATTGATTGATATAAATTTATGTGTCGAAAATGAATTAATTAAAGTTTATAAAGCTACTTGGATTGATGGTTATATTATATGTTGGAATATGGATAAGGATAACTTTGAACGGAACGGATCTATACAAGTTGTTCTTAAAAGACTTAATAATTCTGAAAACATCATTTCTGAAGACTTGAGTATGGTATGTATTAACTTTTCCGTAATGCAATTAATTTAACTTTTATTAATACATTTTGAAAATTTTAGCAAATTAATAATAGTCAAGAGTGTTACGGAATAACTCAAGACCCTGTTACGAAAGATATTATGATAATATCAAATATAAATATATTCAATAAGCAATATATAATAGATCACTTATTATATAAAAGTAAAAATAAAGTTGTGGATGAATTTATCAGATATACACAAATGCATTCTCATGCATCTAATATATCTGAAATAATGGAATTTATTCCATATAATCAATTTAAAGATATTGAATTTATTGCTAAAGGTGGATTTAGTGAAATTTATAAGGCTACTTGGATCGATGGTAATATATTGAGTTGGGATGTAGATGCTGTTCTCAAACGAAGTAGTTTTAAACAAGTTGCGCTTAAAACACTTGATAATTCAAAAAATCTCACTATTGGGAATCTAAATGAGGTATAAATTAATTTATTTTTATTTATTTCAATTTAATATTGATGTACATTTTATTAATCATTTTTAAATATTTAGCTTAAAATTATTTATGATTATAATATACATTTAAAAAGGATGCATTTTCTTATGGACCTTATTTAAACAAATGTTATGGAATAACCCAAAATCCAATTACAAAAGATTTTATGATTGTTATGGATTATTATAAATTAGGCGATCTAAAGCATTATATATCAAATAACTTTTATAGTATTGGCTGGAAGGATAAATTATCTATGTTAATATCTACTGTAAATGGACTTAATGATATTCATTATTCATCGTGATTTTCATAGTGGAAATCTTCTTATAAAAAATAAGTCAGTAACAATATGTGACTTAGGATTAAGCAAATCTGCAATTGATTTAGCGGACGATGGTAATGAAATTTATGGAATTATCCCTTATGTTGCACCAGAAGTTTTTAATAGAAATAGATATACTAAAGCTTCAGATATATATAGTTTTGGTATAATTATGTGGGAGATTATGACAGGTAGAAGACCTTTTTGGAATAAAGTTCATGATACAGAACTTATAATTCAAATTTTAGATGGTCAACGTCCTCCAATTGCATCTGCTCCTGAAGGTTATATCAAATTAATGCAGGAATGCTGGGATTCTGATCCAAATAAAAGACCGGCAGCTAATTATATAAAAAGAACATTACATAATATATGGAGTGTTGAATACCATAATCCAACAGAAATTATTAAATCACCAGATATTGGGCCCGTATCCAATAATCCAGGAGCAATCTATTCAAGTAGGCATTTAAATCATATGATAAAATCTGCTGTATCATCTTGGAGTTTGAGAAGTCAACCTACTACTTCAATATTGGGTAATATTTCTTAACAAAAATATGTAATTCTCATTTAATTACCCATATCCATCGATGTTAAATATAATTAATCCTTTTTAAAGATAAAAGAAGTTTCGAAGAAGAGCGTGATAGAAGTTTAAAGAAGTCTAAATTATCTAAAGGTAAATCCTGATTTTAAATTTTTAATTTATGTATTAAATTAATTAATAATTTTTCTTTTAAGGTTATGAAACAAAAGAATTTGGTTTCGATATCTAATTTTTTTTTACATATTATCTTATATTTATTAAAGAAAAATACTAAATAAACGATACAGATTATTTATCGTTATATCATTAATTACTAAATATTGATTACTTCAAATCTTTTTTCGATCTAAAACAATAAAATGGTGCATTAATTTTCTTCTTTAGTTTGCTTATAAAATTTTCTATTCATTAATTCATGTAACTTCTAAATTATAAAAAAATGAAGTATTACTTTAATTTCGCTTTATTATATTATGGTTGGTGTGTGTTTTTTGTTTCAATTTGCAAAATGACTAATATTTTAGTTTGTACTTATTTCTAAAAATGAAAATATGGTATTAATTAAAATACAATGATCGCAACTTAATAACTCTTTTAGCGGATAATAGAAAATCTCTAAACGCATGATAAAAAAAAAAAATATTATGTTTTTAAAAATAAAATATATACCTCATATACCTAAAACATTATGAGAGAATTTCTAAGACCACTGTTTCTGCCCATCGGGTTACAGGAATTTTGACCTTTAACATTCACATGTCAATAAGGCAATTATAATATAAGAATTTTTTATTTTTTTAAAAATTTGAAAAATTCGAATCTTCCAGTTTTACCTAAATAGTTTTATTATAAATTTTCGTTTATTATAGAGGATGATAAGAAAAAATAGAATTATAAGTCGTCATCGATTATTTTCGAAGCTTTGGCTCGTTTTAAGGACTTGTGCCAGATAAACATCATGAGATTCAACCGGCCTACAGCTTTATTGATGTTTACATTCGAAATTTAATTGTTATACACGTGAATTCGAGAAATTAATATTGCCACTAAACTTTAGCATCACCTGATGTATCAAAGTTTAATAATAAATGGATTAACTTATAAATACATGATTATTACCTTCCATCATTAATATTCATATAACTTGACGCAAAGAATTAATGTTTACTTTTGTCCCACATTGAGAATAAAAGCCCGGTAGACAATATTCGAAGAATCTAGCTTTAAACTTAAACTTTTAGTAAGTTCAATAAATTTTATTTTATTATTTTCTTGTTTTACACAATTCATTTATTATTATTTTTTTTTTTTATATCCTTGACAGGTGTTTATAGATTCTTTCCAAGTTTCCGATATTTACGAATGGATATCCTTTTAAAAGATTCCGTTATATAAATATATTGTTTATATTAATTCCTTTTTAATTGATATTATCGTTAACATAATTCTTTCTTTACAGATTATACTCTCCTGACTTAAACCCAATCGAGAATTAGTGGGCAATTCTTAAAGGAAAAGTTGATAAAAAAGGTTAATGATTGGAAAACATAAATATCATTTTGTAAAGAACTTCGTAGATTATGAAATTTGGATTTTTATCCATGAAAAACTTGTAATCTTTTTATGACCCATAAATATTCCGAAAAAATACAATTTTTTTTTCGTTTTGCAAGTATTATGCCAAAATTATGCGATTTATAATAGTTGAAAAATGACGTCCATATTTAATATAATATAACTTTAACCAAACTTACTGAATGTGATGCGGATAAGAATGGCATGGGTAAGAAATATGAAGAAAGACACATAGAGGAACGTTTGTTTTTTTTTATGACACCAAACTCCATTGTAAAACTTGATTTGTATTTCATCTATGAAAACCAGAAACTCGAATTATATTGCGCAGTAAGTGCGGCCATTATTTTTTTTAATCAAACTACCATCATTTTTAGCGCTGTAGCTTAAATTCAATTAAAAAGAAATTAAAGAAAAATACTATATTTTACTTCCGAAGCGATCGCTCTGAGATGAGAAATTTAAAAACAAAAAATAATATGGGGAAAATCTATTCTGATCACACAAGCCCGAAGAAGTCAAAAAAAAAAATTACATAACGCTAAATATGCCTAATTGAAAAAGCAGTATTACGATTCCTTTTAACGTGATAAATTTATCATTCGGTGGTCGGTTTGTGTATTGTTTTCTGCGCATTCATTGTTCTCTACCGTGATTATGATAATCAAGATTGGAATGTAATGTTATACTCACAATGAGGAATTGTGGTGAAGGTTATTTTTTCTTCAACATCCAATTTGGCAAGCCTTTGATTCAAGTTTTTGGTTGAATTATTATCACAGGAATCGATGACAGTTTTCTATTCGTTGCACTGTCCTAACATGACAATATTTTTATCCAAGTTGTATCACGTGATTCTTATAATTTGTATGCGTCATTTGTTTATTTGTGAATAATCATTTTGTATTATAGCGCAGAATGTAATAACGTGATTATTAAATGACATCGTTATATAATACATTACTTTAAATATAAATTTTCTTTCAATATGAAAAACACAAAGTATTGTAGAATCTTATTTTTTTGTATTGACGGAATTCAAGATACTGTTTAGTATTAATTTTCGACAATGCGAATACAATACTTAATATTTCAAAATGAAAAAGCCCGTAAACAACAAATCATCTCTCCTCGGTCAAAAAGTCTCTTTAAAGATAACAACCCAACAATCAATAATGTTACTTTCATTCGCAATAATACGTCCAAAGATAATGATGTCATTAAACTAATTGACAATTATAATCAACATTAACACGTATTACTTATTCTACTCAAGTTATAAAAGTAGGGTCGCTCAAAGGTACCTTGCTGCAAACACAACAACTACTAAATAAAAAATAACTTTAACTTTAAAATACTCAACTTCTCAACTAAAAATGCAAACAATAACTTTCGATCCCGACTTTTCGATATTTGACAAAAAGTTCGTTCCTGTTTTCCCAAATGTATGTTCCCACTCTTTTGATATGGAGCCATTAGAAGGTAATCAATTCTGGCCAAAACAACATATAAATTAAATAAATTTTTTCCAAGACATTTAAATCTCTTAAACGCAAAGTACAGTATTTCGCAAACCAAAAAAAAATCGCTGTGACCAATGAGACCATGGTTTCTGAAGTTGCATCATTCTCACCTGATGAAAATATAATTGAAATCGATGAAATTGTTGAAATTGTTGATATTTATTCATTAATTCCGGAATCGTTTGATAAAGATGAATCTAATTCGTCTAATATCGTCGAAACAATAAACAAGTTCTATCTATATATTCTAATTTAAATCCGAAAAAAAATTTTTTTTTTTTTTTGAACCTATTGCTAACAAAACTTAACCTGATTCGGTAATGTCGTTGTTCGTAGAAGTCTTCTTTTCAACTGTCGTTATCGCTTCCTAAAGTTCGTCCATGTATTCAACAAGCTTCAATACATGTATCATCTTATTTCCAGCCTGCTCCTTGATGATGCACTTGACGTTCTCCGTGAATCTTCAACGGTAACTGTAATTCCATTGGTTATTGTAAAATAGGGCATTCCTTGCTCTAAATTTTGGAGCATTTTGATGGTCGCAAATATCGATGTTCCACCATTTTTTTGGCATTTAATTCATTATCACTTCCAAATTGGTAAAATTGGAAAGCAACAAAGTTATTTTAATTTTCATTATGCACTTAAGAGGTCTGCATTATATTTATTTTCCGGTTCGAGTAGCATTCTTTAAAGTAAAATCCACGTAATTCTGTACCTGATTAAATTCGTTATAAATCTTCTTGTAAAAAAATTCGATCATTAAAATTCCGAAATTAAAGTATTTCATGAAAATAATTTAGGGATGGATCGGTGCTGGTAGGACCGGTCTCAGACCGGTTAATGGGACCGGTCCTTTCGGTCCTTCTAAGGACTACTTATGGACCGGTCTTTTTGGGTCGGACCGATCCAATCCTAAAAATAATCAATATTTTTTTAAAAGTATCGTAAAATTATGTGTTTTACAAAGTAAATTTTTGTTTGAAAAGATGCTATTAATGCATGTATTTATCTTTTATTAACTTGAAATACCTCATAATCATCTATTTGAAACAAACCATCTGGAATATCAATCTGAAAATAAACAAATGGGCTTTTACCATGCCAATTATTATCGATATCGCAAAAAATATCCTCACCAAAATATGGACCACAATTTGGATCACAATATAAAGCAAATTGAGAATGATCATCCTGAATATAACCTACTTTTGCAGTTTGAAGATTTGTTCTATTTACGAATGAGAAAATAAAACTATCTTTGGTAGTTTTCCATTGACCATTTCCTTCCCACCCAAATGGATTATATCCTCCCACTATTTGTTCAGTTCCTTTAATTTTTATTACGACTATATTGGCACCTTTGTTATCACATTTTTGATGAAATGCTGCAATTGTATTACCATCCCTACTGGCACGATAAAGTAAATTAAAACCATAAGGCGAATTTTTGTTATTAATATCTTTCTTATCAATCCAACCGGAAAATTTAGCAAAATGCCGAGAGTTAACAAGGATTGAATCACATTTTGAACCAAATTTTGACTGTCTAGGTGGTTGAATATTAATGTTTAATTTCTTATCTGGTGTCATAGCATATGTTAAGAGGTTAACGAACAAACCCTTCGGTAGCAATTCTTCAAAAGGAAGTACTTTTTCAAGAAAATCTACTGAAGAAATATGATGAAATCTAACTAAAGGGATATATCTATGAAGGGTCCTTTCCATAACTGTAGTTTCTTCATTGCTCCATTCTTTGACGTTTTTAGAAATAGACGGGTTCTGAGCAAAACCCCATTTAATTAAACTGTCCCAAATATCAATTTCATCCAGACTTAAATCATCCCGTTTTAAAAGGAACTCTAATAAAGGTGCTTTTATACTGAGAAATTTATCAGAAGTGAAAAACTCTTTGGGGTCTTCACAAATTTTTTCAAAATAAAAATTTCGTAATTTTGTGAAAGTCTCATGTTGGTAAATTGTTTCAAGAATTCCTATAGGATTTTTTTGTAAAAACTCTTGATGGTCGTTAATTAAATAATCTTCAATTTCGGGAACTAATGATTGAAGATTAAGTGCTCCTGCCGCTTTTAAGAGCTTTAACATTTCAGTTCCTTCTAATTTCGTCATGTCAATCCTTCCGCAATATATAAATCTGAAATACAAAGTGATATTAGTAATTTGGTTCATATCATTATCGTAGTTGTCGAATTTATTTACCTTAAGATAATTTTAAAAAGATTTGGAGGAATTTTGGGTAATTTCAAAATAAAATTCCCTTCCTTTTTCTCAACATTTTCTTTATTTAATTCATCACAAAAATATTGCGACCTGAAACATAAAATATTTGAAAGGGCATATAATTCTTTAACGTTCCCATGTTCACCGGCATAAATAATGACATCATATTTTTTGTCATTTTCAAATAATTTTTCATAATCATCCTGTAAACTTTCTAAGGACATTTTTTATAGAACAATAAAAAAAATATCATTGAGAAAATTAAATTTAAATCATTGCATGCCTAGTGTTACACACATTTAAGATTACGACACATGAATACTCCAAATGTAGTCCGATCTTCTTTATGAAAAATACGATTGGTAACATTTACATTCGGTTTTATTTATTATTATTACTAAAAAAAATACAGTGAAATTTATTTAAAATCGCTCTCAAAAATTTCATTTTATAAAAATTGATTTATTTAGAAATATAAAATATGGGTAGATTGCTAGGAAAATCAGGTTCCGGGAATTTTTTAGCAAAATTGAGATTTTTATTGCATTTTAGTTTTTGATGTAATTAGATTAAAATGTATTAAGCTCTTAATTTTAGTCAAAAATTTCTCGGAACCTGATTTTCCTAGAAACACTCCCACATACAATATTTGTTGAAATTAGTGAAGGATACTGTAACTAGGTTATTCACGGGTTTTATATATAAGTTACATGCGCGTAAGCGCATGTGATTATCATATTAACTCTGAATAACCTAGTTACAGTATCCTTCACTACGTATGGAATAACAAGTATATATTTACGCAATAATTTGGAGTAATAAATTAAAATTCTCTTTAAAATATCATTTTCCATTACTAAAAGTAAATTAATAAATAAATAAATAAATAAAAAAGAAAGAGAGAAGTGAAGAATATGAAAAAATTCTTTAAAAAAATTAATAAAATAAAAACATAAAAAATCATCAACAAATATTACCTTTAGGACGATCCCAAAAATGAAGAAAATAAATTAATATATTAAAAAAGAAAAAAAAAAAATCTACCGAAAAAGCTGATTAAAGAATTCTATCTTAGGTATCGAAGAAAGAAAGAACGTTCTTAAAAAAAAATATAAAATTATAAAAAAAATGTTTTTGAATTATAAAAACTTTCGAATATTTAAAACCTTGAATGCAATTTCTCTAGGAAATAAAATTCAAAGAATTGAAGATTTTATAATATAAATAAAAATAAGTTCAATATATTGGATTTTTATGCGAGTATACAATAGATAACAAAATGTGTCCTAAAAAATTTTGAACGAAGGTCATTTCACTTTAAACAGAATTTTGCCATTATATTTTCATCTTTAGCAAATTTCACTATTCAAGTCTAAAGAAAGAAATATTTATTATTATGTTTTAAAAGCATAAGAAATATTTTATCGGCATTTACCTATCTCAAACATAATGTCATGGATAATTCAATAAAGGTTAAGCCGATTTTCCAGGACTTCTTTTTCAATCATAAGATTTTCCTCGATTCTCTTTCAACCGTTAAAATAATTACAATATGAATGATAGGTTAATTAATTTATTATAACTGTTTGTTTTTTTTTCATAGATCGAAATATCATTACTTTCAATATAAGAAGAAATATGTATGTTGCAGACGAATGAATTCAATTTTTAAAAAAAAAAAATAAGACCCAAATTTTTTTACAATAAATTGTCATCTCGGATGTTTGTTTTAAATTAATTTAAAAAAAAATATCATCCACCGAAGTTTCTTTTTAATAAAATTTCTCTTCCGTCGCCGCAGTATCGATATAATTATTTCGAAGTGTTTAAATAACAAATTTTTTTCTAATAATATTTAACATTAATAGATAAAAGCAAATATTGCTTCTATACATAATCTGCATATTATCCTTTAGCTATATTTTTTAAATTATTCTGTCAGTTTTTTAAAAAATATTAGAAAATTCTAAGATAATAAAATGTTCCAGTAAAGATAGGTTTTAACAAAGAAATTTTTTTTTGTACCCGGATACCTTCGGAGTAGTGTGGATTTCGGGCATTAATCATGTATAATCTATTGAGTTGGAAACCTTATTAATTAAAATCATTAGTGGTTCTATAGTCTTACTTTTTCGTAAATTAACTTAAGTTTGGTTGGGATATATTGCAACAAATTTGAGCGAATTTAAAATGTTAAAGGTATATTTTGTATTATAGCACAGATGTGGGACCTGTTTTGTTTAGGAGGTGATTTATTTATTCGAGATGTTAGGTAGAAATTTTGAATATAGGACTCAAAGTATGAAGTTTCAGAATTTTGCTGTACTTCAAATTTATTTTCTGGTTTTGAATATGAATTGAATTTTAGAAGCTTATAATAAACTTATTTAAAATTTTCATAATTTCGTTCGACTTTGAAGTTTGTACTCATCAGATCTTATATAGATTACGAATTATTTAACCATGTATTTTTTTTTTTTATTGTTAACGTTCGAGTTGTTTTAATGTACAGTATATTAATATATTCCAATAAAAAATAGAATAAACTTAAATTTAATTCTTAATATAATTGCAAATCAAAACTACTCTGAACATGAACAAAAATCGCATAATTAGAATATTGAATCAAGGATCTAAAGGTTGATGCATGCAAAACGCTAGTTCCTCGACACTTCAAATAAACAAAATGATAAAATAACCATAGCAAAAGTAATTTTTTAGATCACAAGTATTCTTTAGTTGTGTGATATTTATAATGGATTGATTTATAATTTACTTTGAAAAGTTAATTCTAATGATGACAAAAGAAAATAGCATTGCAATGAAATATTTATATATAAAAATTTTCTTGTTATAAATTAGACGTAATTGATAGATATATCTAAATTGGTATGACAATATGAAGACTAGGACTCTAGTAATTTATAAAGTGTCTGTTTTAACATCAAAAAATTACTCGTTAAAAAGGTCTTAAATTAAAATGATCTGTACATTTTATTTATCGAAATTTTTGGGTCATTTAATACTATCATACATCACGAATCTTGAACACGTTTTACGTTTCAAATATCAACCATTATAATATTACGTGATTTTTTATTCAGTAATAACCGAAAATTCACGTGATTCATTACCATATAAATTTATTGAATTAAAATTGTGTAACTTACGGTAGAAATGAATCAAAAAAAAAAAAAATAAATTTAACGAACCTGACCTGAATACTTTGCAGAAACTGCTATATATATATCATTCTACGATTTAAAATGCATCTGTTTTAATTTGATTGTCCTTATAAGATTATAATTTGAGGAAGATGTTGATGAAACTGAAACAAATAAGATTAGTGCGTTTAGAAATTATATTGTTAAAATTGCCAATTATTTAAAGGCTTATGGTTCAAACACAAAGTGCTCAAATAGAAATTGTCTAATTTAAATTTTTGTAATAAATTGAAAATTTTTTAAATTTTCATCACAGATATTACCAATCCACTCGCTGCTTTTTATATTTTATTTTTTATTAAAGAAACCTCTGCTTAATAACATTTTCAATTTTTAATTCTGAAAATTATCTTTTTGCCAAAACAGTTATTTTATATCTTTGTATAAAAAATAAAATCGATGTGATTTTCTATTATATACTCGAAAAATATTTTTTTTCCATATAAGAAATTGGCATCACCAATAATTACAATGTTATATTTTTTGATAAAAAAAAAATTTAATTATTTCTTTTATTTTCATCGTGTCGAATAATAATGATAATTACCTTGTTAAAATCAATACACAGTCAATATCATTACAAACATTTCAAATATCTATCTTCGGCAGCTAATACTTGCAAACAATTCCATCAGCAACAACAACGTGCAATTACAACAATATTCGAGCATTTTTAAGGAAAATATATTAAAAGGACATTTGTATCGAAGAGTCATAAATTTTGATCCATCGGTGATGAATTATTGTTGTAAGCACTCCAATAGTTGGCTTGGTTAGATATAATCCAGAACACCATGATCAACCATTGTCAATAATGCTATACTAACTGTTTCAAAATACTCTTTATGAAAATTTTAAACTTGTGTTAACCGGCACAAATCTAAGATTAAGTCAAGTACATGTGCATGCACCATAACGAGACCAAAATCAATGCTTTCTTGCGTTTATTCTGTAATACATAAGAGTTATTCATTTCTTTTGAAATACTTTACTTTGTTTTCGGTTTTTGTGTTTGATGATTATAAGACTTCGTCTAGGAAGAGAGTCTCGTGACCCAAGAGAATGAAGTATGTGACATCTATCTGCTTAAAATTATATGAATTGATTAAAAAAACTTTATGATTAGACACGTCATCACGTGAATTTCAATTACTTTTTTGTTATTTCTCCCATAACATTAGCTATTATATGATCATTAACCTTGTCGAAATCATTCTAATTTTGTTTTCAAGCTACGAAATCTTAAAGCATTGTTGTACACCCTCCAAAGTCCCAAAAACGACCTTCAAGTAATTATCGATCATCTATCAATAAAGACATGTTTTATATGCTGGAAAAACAGTAGAATTATTTCATGTTAAATATTTTTTTACAAGGAAAATATTTATCAAATATTAGGTTGAGAGCCCGTAGTAAATCAGAAAATCGCAGAAAACATTTCTCTCACCTCGCTTAATAGTAAACTGTGCGATTCACGATAAGACATCATAATTTAGTTCTTCTATGCCTACGGTTCACAAATATAGCATGGTCATTTAATAATAAAATTAGACGAGTTTATTGATGTCGTCAATGGTGGATTAAAACTACGCAATCCTGATTTCATCCCACGAGACATCGTCATCTTAAACGGTCGCGTGATTTTCATTTGGAGAGAACATGACTCATGGGCTTCATTACCATCTTTTACTTTTCCTTTGTCTAGTATTCCATCATCTTTTTTTCGTCAGCGTATCTATCTATTTTTATTTTCTCTCGTTCTTCTCTCAGTTTTCACGATAAACATTAAATTCCCACTTCTATACGATCATTACAAGAAACATGGATAATATAATGAATATTATTCTGATACTCCGTCCAATTGAATGGCTTTTATTTAACGCGTATAGCTCCTGAAGTAATGAGTCAGTTATTTATTTGTTAAAAAATATATTTTCGTAATAAATGTGATTAAAATATCCCTATTCAGATACAATAGTTGATCCCTTGATGACCCAACCGTCAAGCATCCGAAGTCCTTTTTAAGCCAAATCGATTCACTTACAATTTTTATCATGGTGGAAAAATGCATATGTAATGAAAAAAACTGCCGTTCCTACACATGAGAATGAGTCTGTATAAAATTGGGATTTCGATGCATTAATCGTTAGGTTACGATTGATACTATTACTGATCTTCCAAAGTTATTGTTCTTCAATGGTGAAATTGATGTTGATTGTGATGGTGAAAGTAAAGATAGGCTGACCGATTGAAAAATGTCAATATCAAGTGAGATGAATTGTTGAAAAATAGATAATGTCGATGATGATTGATTGTTGCGCTGGAAGTGAATAAATTCTGTCTGACAATGAAGTTCGTGATGATAAAGAGATGTTTGGTGATATAAATGATAATAAATCTTACACGTGGGTGTATAATGTACAAAATACGAGTGGCTGAAAGATTGTGTGAAACTTAAGAAAGTAATGGACTGAAATAGAAAGGATGAAAATAACATTGACGTAATTGATCGACAAATCACGTGTTAAGAGTTAAGTTTTTATATTAACGAAATATTATGTGGCTTTTTTTTCTGTAAACGAAAAACTTTATAATATGGAAACTATAGAAGAAAATTTAAAAGAACTTCAAAGCATGTTAAGCGATGAAAATATTAAAGATATCGTTAAAGGTTTTAAAGAACTTGTCGAAATATTAAAAACTTTTAAAAATCATCAAAAAATCGTTAATTACGACACCAAGTTACGTCAAGTAGCAGATTGTTTAATAAACGAGAGATTAATAATCAATTCCCGGGAATCTAAGAATCCAGATAATAATAATGATATCCGGAAATTTTCTACTTCTTTGATTTATTTAAAATTATTAGCTAATAAATAACTTATCGAAAAAGAATAGATATTATACAAGATGTGATGAACTCTCCTTGTAAAGAAGAAATCTTGTTCAATTATGCTCTGTCAGAGGATGAAGTTAACAAACGTTACCGAAAACTCGCGTTGAATTTCCATCCAGATAAAACAAATCGACCAAATACCCCGTATTCTCTTCAAGGTGATCATAAAAACCTAGGTGCTGAGCTATTTAGATATATTACAGAAATTAAGGAAAGTTTATTGGCCAATTATGAAAAATCTTGAGTAACGAAGGCTGGATGTTCATAAGAGAAATGCAGACGTACACTCCCCGGTCAAAAGTATTGGACCACGTGATTTTCGTTATACTAATGCATAAAATTGAGTCAATTTTTTTTTCCTGCATAGCTACGAACTTCTTGTATTCAAATATAATTTTTTTTAA